TGCATAGAATGTTAATATGTAGTAAAATAACCACTGGTACATAGAATTGATTCAAGGAAGCAGCCGCATTTGCAGTTGCATTCACTAAGTATTATGTACAGCAATTGTTGCATCAACAGCTGAAGTTGGAAGTCAATGTGTGGCAGACGAGTTGTCGTCGGCGACAGCATTGCTCTTAAATGATAAACTAGTATTTCCAGTCAGAATGCTTTTCATTTTCAATGCTTAATAACATGTACTATCTACATATGTATGTACATTAGGGGGGGGTCCAAAATTCCTGTTGAAAAAGTGTAGAAGGAATTTTAATGCCAACGCCCCCTAGGATTGCTCTATACCGAATAATAATTTACCTATATTTTCTACTTTGAAATCAAACAAGTAAATAGTATAAGTTCGGGCGAAACCGAACTTTAAATACCCGGCGCAGGTATCAAATATCGTCGTTTCAATTTACTCTGAACTACCTCTGCATGATAACTATGGGCGTTTGCCCGATTTCAAACGTTTTCGATATTATGCAGAGTTAGACTTGATTTATCGCAGCTTTCGTGTTTCTGTAAATTACCGTTATATGGGAGGTGGGTGTGGCTGTTGCCCGATTTCAACGATTTTCAGCAGGTTTCTAAGCTGGATCATAAGCAAGGCGCGTGCCGAGCTTGGTAAGTATTGGTGAAGCGGCTACTAAGATACAGTATTTCATCATAAGTGGGCGGGTCCCTTTTTCAAAAATTTCATAATAATATTATTTTGTACTAAAATTCTACTCCACGTACTAATTCTCAACAATTTGGATCCATTATTTACTGAAATATCATAGTTTTTGCATTTTTCGAAAACACCGTTATATGAGGAGAGGGCGTGGTTACAGTCCGACTTCGCCCATTTTCAATAGCAATCATTCCTTGGATACAGGGCAATCTATGTACCAAATTTCGTTGAGATATCTCATTTATGTATACATTTTTCTATATCTACATATATCTATCTCGATTCGTTTTGGCTGTTACAAACAACCGTTATGCGAACAAAGTTATAATACCCTGTGTTCAAGTGCGCGCGGGTATAAAAATAGGGGCATATTTTTTTCGGTATCCCAGCAAACCCAGGGGTGACTTTACTTTATTTTGGACAAACCTAATGTATATACATACATACATACAAACATGCATACACGTATGTATGTATATATGCCTGCTCCCCTCTCAATGTTCTTTAAACAAAAACAAAAATATATGCGGGCAGACACTCAATTGAAGCAAGCAAGCAAATGGGTGGTTGAGAGGAGGGTGTATTTACTTACTTAAAAGCATAAAAATGCAGTCATTTGTATGTACATAAACATATACAAGCAAAGATTTTTATTTACGTACCAACTTGTACTGATCACAGAATTTTTACTGAAAAAGATGCTGAGAAACTATCTCGGACTTGCTGAAAGATATAAAAGCTTTTGATATTTGTTAATTTTAATGAAAATGTATGGAGTGGAAGTTACAGTGGCTTGATCCAATGATTTGAAATATGTACATACATATTATGTATGGATGTATGTATGTATGTATGTACTCGCTTTAGCTCCCAGGTCCGCCTGAATGAAGTTCGGTTTAACGTTATGATTTCAAATGTAACAAAAAGGAAAATAAATTATATCACCGAAAATAATAAATTTTATTTAAAAAAAAAGTTGCTTAAAGCCTCGACCATAGACCATTTCAGTATACAAAAATTTACATTTCTTAGGCAGTATATTTACACTACATATTGGAAATGGTTTTCATATGTAGGTGGTAATTTTTTAAAAAAATGTGTCTATATAAAATCATATCGCTACCTAAAGGTGAAAGGGTTCCAAGTCCACTTTTTTCGATAGTTTCCTTTTTGATGCAGAATGACAGACAATGCGAAACGATATCGATTTTTCGTTACTCCGGAGCAATTTCAAAAAATGGACTTGGACAGAGCTACGCAAGAGGTAAATTAGTTCTCAGGGCAAAGGGCGTGTAAAAGCTTAAACAGACGGCAGCGTTGCTCCGGACTAACTCGGACTTAAACCGGATCAACTGCAGTTAATTACCGAGTTGATCCGGATCAACGCTGCCGTCGGTTTATGCTTTAACAAATACATTAACGGCATCATTTATATTAGTGATGAGAGGGGGAATACAAGAAACTTTAATACGCCCTTCTTTCCCCTTCATGCTGGCTCTTGATTTTACCCGTCATCTAGCACCAAAATGTGCCAAACCGGCTCCTAAGTGCAAAAGGCTCCTGGAAGCCACCTTGTCTATCTCTGTCCTAGAGGACTTCGAATAACACTATGGCACAAAAATGAACTTTGAAAACTCATGCTTTTTTGGTTTATATTTACTGTATGTGTTATTTTCAACTAATATAGGCCAAGAAAAAAACGTTAAATTTTCAAAGCTTGGAGAAGAAATAATAATTTGGCAGTACTGCGGCAGTACTGGATCGTGAAATTTTTTCTCGAGAACACGATTTGAGAGTAGGTAAATTTGTACTATACTTGGACATTGACATCTCTGCCCCAATAATTTCCAGCTCACTCTACACGACACCTACTTTTTTACACCTTTATGTGGCCTTAAGTAAAATTTAAAAAAAAATTGAGAGCATTTTGGGTCTACCTACTCCCAAATATTGTTTTTAGTACTAAAAAAAAAACAGAAAACGGCAGCACTGGTCCCCAATAAGTTTCAATTCTACAGCGAGCATTTCCACAATCAGTGGTACCTATACATGTACATGTGTACTTATGCGCACTTGTGTACAACCACTTGTATTCGATAAATGTGTATATATTTACATACATATATGTAAAAGATTGTCGTAAGCGCCATTTTGACGATTTTTAGTTCTAGATGCAGTTATATATTTTGAAGCAAGGTATTTCGATTGGTGTTATCAGTTTTTAGATATCTCCTTTAGTTTCCGAGATATTGACTACAATTTTTTCGACAATTTAGTAAAAATTTAGTTGGTGATGCAGTCATATTAAATTAATTAATATCTTAAAAATGGCGTTCTACATTTTTTGATATCTCGTTTAGTTTCCGAGATATTGAGTAAAAAGTGTCGTTAATTTGGTAGAAATTTTGATAACTTTTTGTCGTATTTCATACAAAGTGGCTGCCAAATTGTGGACAAATGACGCTTACAACAAAATTCGACTAAAGAAAATCCTTCATAAACACAAAACTAATTAACAATAAACATTAAAAATTAAATAATTTGAGAATTTTGTGAACTAGTAACATTTTCAGAGGCTTAAGAGAAAGAAAATATATCTTCGCGGTTTTGAGAAATTGCATTCCAAACTTCAATCGCGATTCCCCACAACCTGTCGAAATTAACATACGACAATCTTTTACCCAGGCGACGAAATGTAAATATGACCAGCCTTAAGGAAGAATTAGAAATTAAGAAACAAAGAATTGCTTTGCTCAAAAAAAATTAAAACAAAATAAAAAATAATAAGAAATATGGAGAAACACATATGTTAAAAATGATTTTCTGCTATTAATAGAGTGTTTTGAGATACGAGGTTTTGCCAAAGTACCGTCGATATATAACTTGGCTGAGGAATGGTAAAAATAGAATTGCCACAGCGATTTGTTTAATTGACGGCGACAAAGATGTGTTAGTTGAAGTTTCACAAAATATTACCCATCTCCAAAGAAAAAAAAAGAACAAACAATTTCATTGTTAAAATTGTAGTAGTAAACTAAAGTCAGGTAAGCAACCACAAAGCAGCAAATTTGGTGTTTGCGAATATAGTAAGCCGCAAAACCACAAAACTTTCTCATGCATTATTTGGTTCAAGCTTTCTCAGTGGTATATTTCTTTGCAAAAAAAAAAAACTTATTTACATATGTACTTACCAATGCGAAATGTATGTAGATATGTAATTTTAATCCATGCAAATTGCGATGCCAGCACTTCTAAAATGAGTAGCTGGTTTTTGCAGCACACCGATTTGGTTTTGCAGCAAAATTTTTTCTTTTAATTCTGCTTTACCTTGTGTGCATGTATGTATACATGTATTTATTTATCCACTTTTCACTCTTTTACACTTGGCAATTCGTATAATTTTAACATATTACAGCATCAGCTTTCTTTTCATCGATAAAGAAAAACACAAAAATCTATTCACTGCATCACACGGGACGGAACCGGTTTCATTTCTTTCATTTTAATTGTACTAAAATTCCAACCAGAAAATAAAAGAAAACACTGCAATACATTTGTATTTTGTTCACTCCAGCAATTCGAAGCGTTCAATATTTTCGCCACAAATACATATATTAAAACGATAATTACATTAATTATGTATGGCCACGCACTACGCAATTAAACACAATTGCGACCTTATCTAATTATTTGATATTTAAACGAGTATATTTATATTTTACCCAA